AGAAAAAATATGCACCAATCAGCTTTAAGATTTTGCCTTCGTTTTAGATGCCAGTAAAACCATACACTAACGTTCCTAGTAATCAAAACAATATGCGAAACTTAATTCGTGATGCCTGAGAACCAGTGAAATAACATAGTAAATCGTACTATTGTTTTTGCCTTTTTTGGAATCTGGCGTTTTCCTAAAGATATATCGATATTATACTAAGTAAGCTTCTCTTATACCTCAAATAAAAGTTGTAGAGGAGAGAATACTGGTCATAACGGTGACAAAACTGGTCTGCGGATCTTGAGAAATGAGATTTTTGTCTTCGCGATTATATGTAGAGTAAAAATATAGTTGCAAAGACAAAAATGCTCATATCTTACGATCCACTTAGCCATTATAACTTGAATTCTCTTCTATACAACATTTATTAGAAGTAGAAGTGAAGTTTGCTTACTATAAAATCGATTTGTCCTTAGGGAAACTTCAGATTCCAAAAAAGGTCTAAAATACATAATAACCATATCCTCACAGTTTTTACTATGCTTTTTCACCGGTTCCCACACAGATCACGAATTAGATATTAAGGGGGGATATTTTTGAATTTAGCGATCAAGATAGTGATTGAGATTATTTATCGCTTTTTATATACATTTTAATAGTAAAAGGAAAGAATGGTTAGCATGTTTTTAGACGTCTAAAGCGAATCGCTTTACTTTAGTCTCTTAGTTTAACATAAATTTATTCTTAAGCACGTTTCTAACAAAGGTATGTTAAATTCTAGTACAGCATTAAATTTTTTACTTGCAAAAAAGTAAAGTGATCTACCTTAGACATCGCAAAAATTTTTATTTAATTTTTATTTATATAGTTTGCAGAATACCCCGATATTGTACGTACGTACGTACATACCGTTACTGTATTTGAGCTATTTGAGAGTGACAGGATTATTATGTGCATTTAATTTTGTTTGTTTATTGAGTGTACAAAATCATAAGAATATCTATATATGGGATAGATCTTCAGTTCTAATACATACTATTTCCATGAATGTGATATTCTTTGTTTTATAGAATAGGAAATTAAACAAAAAATATATAAATTAAGACGATGTCAACTTTTTTTTCTATATTCATTAAGCAAGAAAAAATGAACAATTTCATATATTTTTTATGGCTAGTAGCATTATTTCTTGACTTATTTATCACCAAGACAGTGGTCGCATTTGTACCTTCCAGTCGTTATTATCAGGGCAGCGTCATTATTCAAACTAAAATATACTACTTAGGTGGTATAGACATTACGGGAAAAGGCACAAATAGTTTGTTCTATTTGGATGTTTCTTCTCCATTCGATTCCACAAATCCCAAATGGACTGATCTTACTAGTGTCGCACCTATTCCTGTTAATAGTGCGTTCGCTCCTTCTTGTGTTGGTGGCAACAACTCTACTATTTTTTTATTTGAACATCATAAGACAAACAATGATAATTCGACCTCTTTAGTTACTTTTAATTTCGATTCAACTTCTCAAAAATGGTCTGCTCCAACAACATCAGGCATTATACCACCGACCAGAGAAGATATGAGGGCAATTGTTGATAAAAATGGTAAAATATATATCAATGGTGGATACGAACCATATATAAACATGAAATCATATAATAGTACTTACATATTGGACTCTTTGAGCTTATCTTGGGCTAATGGTCCTAATGCTTTGATAATTCGATCTGCTTATACTGCCACTCTTTTATCAAGCGGCCTTATCGTATATATTGGAGGAACAAATGACGACGGACCAGCAGAAATTGATATGAATTCAGTAATTAAATTTGATGATTATGTTAAAACTCTTTAATTTTATTGTTTTTTTTTAATTATCACTTTTATTGTTTCTTTTAGCTTTCAATTTATAACACGAATATTGGAACTTGGTCATCAATGGTAAGTAAATTATTTTGCTATATTAATTTCCAAGGCATTTATAAATCTCCAGGTATTCATTAATTACCGAGGTATTTAAGCAAAATTAGGTTTTGGATACCTTACCAGTTTACGGCTTTTTGATTTTATTTTAAAAGTAATCTTAAAAATAATCTTAAAAATAATCTTCAAAGTATTTAATATTGTATATTTATATGTGTGTGATATTAGACTGCAACTGGCGACGTAATTGCGGCCCGTCAATCTCATTCGGCTGTGCTAAGTATGTAAAGATACTAAAGTGTTCCATATTTTTTATTAAAAACTTATAAGCCTCGCTATTTGTATTAGATAAAAATGGATATATTATTATTTATGGAGGTGGCGCTAATAATTACACTGTTGCTCCAAATCCTCCTTTGGCTATATTGGATACAAATTCTGTACCTTACAAGTGGTCTGCCAAAACATTTACTAGCACGTTTGCACCGCCACCACTTGCCTATCATTCAGCTCAAATAGTTGGGGACTACATGATTATAGCATTTGGTGACTATATTTGTTATTTAAAAAAATGCTCTATATCAGTTTATTTGTTTAAGACTTATTAAATTGTTTGATTCTTAGGTGTCGGTATTTTAAATGCGAAATTTGACTTAGCAACTGCTCCAAATAATAATATTTACATATTAGACACTACAAATTATACATGGGTTACATCAATTGTTTCAACATCTACTCCTAATCCTTCTGTTAACGGTTCAATTAATCTAGTACCAACAAACACCAATTCAAATTCAAATTCAAATACCAACTCAAATACCAACTCAAATACCAACTCAAATAATTCATCTAATAATTCACCTCTTCTAATTCCATTAATTGCTGGTTTAGGCAGCTTACTTGGTGTTTTCATCATCGTTGCAAGCATAATAGGCATTGTCTTTTGTTGTAAGAGAAAGCGCCCTGATCCTGATTATATGAATTATATTCCTACACCAGGCACTATTAGGAATGAAATGTAGCTTAATTAAAAGTTGATTGCTTATATTTACCCATTAATATTATCTGACATGATAACCCGTATGAAAATAGTAATTTATCACATTTTAATTAATTATATGTGATACAGTTAGTTATCCCAGAAATTAATAATAATTTAGAATTGTGATTTCATTGATATAAGTAAGTTTAAATCAAAAAATTAAAGCAAGCATTTTTTTGATTGTTTGTTATACATTAATTCTCTCATTTCCTTTAACTATCAATTATTATATTCATTATATTTAAATATTTTAATATATATATATATATTCAATCATGGTCCTTTGATAATATTATATAAAATGTGGAAAAGAAAACATTTAGGTCACAAAAATCTAATTTCAAGTTTTAACAATATAAAGTTTTAAAAAGCAATCTCGGTAACCTAGCTTTTATTTTAACTGTAAACTTGCATTTATTCTATATATTATATTTGGCCATCATGGAAATGAGGGCGGTAACAAATCATAGGGGCTGGGGTGCAATCCAGAAATTCACTCTTCTAAGAGCGCATCCAAGTCTCTGTCTAATAATAAATCTCATTTTGAACCTTTTTTTCTAAATTTCCATTCGCACCTATTACATAAATAATTCGATATGAAAGTAACAATATATGGTGTTTAAAAAAGCTTGAAGAATGATATGGAAGTACGCTGCACATTCATATATTATTATGTGGTTACCAAACCCGTAATATAACGAAATTCCAAATAACGAATTAGAAATAGATAATCTAATTTGTCAAAACTTTCATTATAAAAAGTATAATAAATCTCTATATTACAGTCATACCCTTTTTTTCCAGAGCGTTTTTGGAGATATAATTCAATATACAGACCATATAAAAAAAGGAAATTTATTCTGCTAAAAACCGGGATATAACTCAGGTATGACTGTATTAAACTTAAAGTGTGTATTTGTCCATTTCTAAACAGATCCGACCAGCTTACTTTTGCAAATAAATCAATATACGGATATTTAAGGTTCCAACCTGTTATCGCCTATATATCTATACACTACTAACTCCTTTCCACTTTGGTAGGGAATTGACTCGACAAAAAAATCGTTGATCGATGATTGATAGAAATTTTTTTTTGTATCGATCAAAATTCAATTATATATGTTTAATCGAGTATGATCGATCAAGAATGTAATTTATTTGCTCAAGCATACATAATCGACCAATCATTGGGTCAACCATTGATTGATCTATTATATAGTATTTTATAATGATATCCTGTAAAATAAAGGATTTTTTTGAAGATTTTCTTAATTGATCAAATTATAACCATTTAATCGATTAACATAATCGATCATTAATTGACTCACTTTTGATCGAGCCTATAACATTGTGCTCGATCATCAAGCCTAATCGATCAATTATTGAGGATTATATGATCGAGGCAATACACTACACTTTGGTCGAACCCAAATATAACTTGTAATTTGGTAGTTGATTATTTTCTATTGTAATCTATTTACACTAAAAAAAATTTATTCTTATAGTTAATAGAGGTGATAGATAAAAAAAAAATTTAAAAAAGTTTTATAAGGTTTTACAGTAGTAGCATTTAAAACTTGATTAAATTTAGATGCTAAATAATTTGTTTATAATTTTATAATATTAAAGATCGATTAGGAATAAAAAATATAAATTAAGAATTATAAAGTAAAAATTACAAAACAATAATTATTGTCACAAATATGTTTTTTCCTCAGAATATTTAATGATGCATTATTATTATAACGATGAGTCCCTGCGATCAAAATTAATTGTAATCAATCGATTATTCAGAATACGCGGTAATTAAATGCGTAAGTATAAAATTAATATTACTAATTAATATAATTCAACCTTTTATTACAGTACTATGTATAATTAACATTTCCATACTAATTTATAATATTGCCTTTATTAGATTTTCCCATACTCTTGCTAACAACGTAATGATATTTTGAGTGTTAGTGCATGGAGTTAGCGGCCAAAAATTTTTTCTACATTTGGTTTTTATTTTTTTTTAATAATATCGATACATACAAATGTCGATATATTTCAGATTAATTCGATGAATCTTAAGATTTCTTACAATTTATTTGCATTTACTTATTATTATTATTATTATTTTGTTATGTCAAGTCACAAAAAGCAATTCCTTGTATGCTCCGTTACAGCCTAGTTCTATTTTGCAAGATCAGTTACAAGAATGATCTGATAAAATATCGAAAGTATCATCTAAATATGCAATTTTTTTTTTATTGTTGAATTAATAAATAGTTTCGTATTTTACAAGTGAATCAGTCATACAAAATGAAGAAAGTGATGATTTTTTTGGTAGAGCAGAATGAAGTTGATTGTTCAGTTAAACAGAATAAAGAATATATTTTGGTTAAGCAGGATGGGAAATTGATATTTTCTTGCAAGAAATCAAAAATGATTACCAAAATGCCAGATCTTGCTTCGGATAATTTTATTACAAGGAGTTATGTACATCCTTTAGAAATGGAAAACCACCTCATAAATATTTGTCTAAAGGTTCCTAAAGAATATTGACAGGAATTACTTTCTAACAAAATCAATAATTACAAGCGAGCAAAAAAATCGAATCAAAGACAATTAAGGGTGTTTCCAAGCATCAGCCTAGATGCGAATTCATAGTGATCGAAATAGTGCACAAGTATTATGTCGTAATTTTTGTTATTGTCATAAATTTTGGATAAAAATCAATAATACTATTATTTAGTATGCTCAAATATCATTACTGTGATCTTCTAATAATTGCTAATTGCAACAATAGATCAAAATAAAGATCCAATCATTGCTTGAAATGATTCTAAATAGTTTATTGAAAATTTTACAAAAAATGTGTGTCGATTATGAAATCCATAATAAAAAGTATGAAAACACTTGAATAATACTTTATTAACTTAATATTTATAAGTCAGTGCAGAAAAAAAAGTGGTTCAAGGAAATAAGTTTTTTAACTGAAAATATAAACTCACTGTTCATTTTTTACTATATATTTTAAATTTTCTTCATGTAATAATACCTTACTTATCTTAATGGAAGGCTCGATTGATCGATAAATTCCTTTCCGTTAATTAAAATTTTGATTTTGACCCATAGATTGAACGAAATCAGCATGATATATCATTATATGCAAAAATACAAAAATGTAATGCTTGAGCGATATTTATCAATGATAAATTTATGGAGAAAACAAATGATTTGTTCATCGAAAAAGTAACTCATTTTCTGACTTATTAGAAATATACTTCGATCCATTGAGTGAGGTTCTTGAAAATACTCTCGGTCGATATGTTTAATGTGATAGCTGGTGGTTAATAGCGTGCTAATGAAAGAAGGTTGATTGAATTTTTTACTTCAAATGATTTAATATCCAGCATTGACCTTATTCACAGGCCGTAACTCGCATTACGTTTTATTATAAACTTTCGTCAGTCGTTTTAATAGTATTGAATTAAATTATGTTATCTATATATTACGGTAATTATACTAAACTAAATACGGCAAATTTAGATTACTTGGTTTATAAAAGGTATTTGTAAATTAAAATTTGTTAATACTTTAAAGTTATTTACTAATAACAGAAAAGAATTAGATAGAAAAATATAAATAACATATGACTAATCAGTATAATCTCTATTATTAAACCGTTTTTTATTACACGCAGATAAATTATATTACTTTATACTTTGTATATAAAATACATATATGCTGTACATTGGACTAAAATTAGCATCAGATTAGATTGCGCTAATTCACTATTTTACTAATTTACTAAAACTTCTCATTAAAACTGCTCGAAAATAGTTTTATATATGTATATCTGATATTGTCAGGAAAATTTAAAACCAGATTATAATCAGGGTTGTCACCAGTGTTGGAAATCTTATGTTCTCATGAGAACATTTTATATTTTAAATATGTTCTCTATGAAAAAAATTCGAGAACATGATGCTGAAAAAGCATGTTAATAGCAAAATTCCAGATGGAAATAGAAATTCCGAATTTAGCCGAAAGGAAAATGAATGAACATAAAATACGAGAAGGGTTGGGATAAAATTTAGAACAAATGTCCGATAATTTCCGAAAATTGGGATATGGGGGGCGTCAATAGAAACCAAGCATCTTGTTTCTAAGTAAATTTTTTCAGACTTTAGATTAAAATATCTCAACAACTATTAAAAAAACTTAACAGAATTTTTTTTATTTTAATTCTGTATAGCTATAGAATTAAAATAAAAAAAAATTTATCAAGTTTGGTTTAATAGTTGTCAAGATATAATTTAAACTTTTAAAAAAACTTACTAAAAACAAGATGCTTGGTTTCTATTGACGCCCCCCATATCAATAATTTAAGAGATTAAATGTTGAGAACACTAAATCAAATAAATATATTCTCATGAGAACATAAATTTCAAAACAGATTTCCAACACTGGTTATCACGTTTACTATGTTTGCTCTATTGGCTCCTAATTCCATTCACTTTTTCATTTTTCTATTGTGAATTTTCAGTATTAAATTTTACTAATTAAATCCAAAAATATTTTAAATTTATTATTTTACTAATAGTTTAAAATATGTATTTAAATAATTGCAAATTATTAATAAAAAAATTTTAATTCATATAAAGACAAAAAATCAAGTTTTATTCTATTGTTCTATTTGCCAACACTGATTATAATCGATTGATTTTACCGATTTCTATCGCTAAGGATGTTGATAATCGATCGAAATCAAAATCGATTATAATCGATATATATTATAATCGATATATATTATAAACGATTTAAATTAATCGGTTATAATCGATTGGCTTTAATTTGTATTGGTAATAATCGATCAAATCTCTGTCACATTTAATCGGTATGGGTGATGGTTATTGATTAAATCTAATAATTTTAATCGATTATAATCAGGTTTCAAAATTTCCTGATGATGTTTATTTTATGTAACTA